CACAGAAAGATCGGGAAAAGGGGTTTGGGTAACAAACATCACCTCCACACCATTTCTGTTTGTTGTCAAATCTGACCGTTGGAGTGGCGTGGTTAAATACGCTAGCCATGCCCAATTCCTAAGATATAAAAAATCTGACAATTTAACAGAAAAAAATACAGGAAGTGTATTTTCAGATTTCAATTTAAAGATTAAAAGAGGGAACTTTTTTTTTTTTTTTTTTTTTTTTTTTTCTTAATGACATGCACGGATGACCTGTACACCACAAAACTAGCAATGTGAGCAAACAAAATCATAAGGTTAGTTTTGAATTCTTGGGGACTTTAAGGTAAGAATGTAAAATAGTTGTTATAGTTTATTCAGTTTATTTATAAACAAATTAACAGGACACATGGGGAAATAACATTTTTGAAGCAATAGTTCACTTATAAATTAAGAAACCCTTAACCATTAATGATATATAATAATGCAGTGGTGTTTATGGAATCTAATTATTTTGGAAGGAGCCATTTTTGCAGCTTAAACCTTTTTTTTCTGTGGACTTATTATTATTATTATTATTATTTTATTTTTTATGCTTTTTTCACAATAAAAAAAAATCTTTTATTTCAGTAGATGAAGGAACATTTGAAATGACCTCTTTAAAATAAGTTTAGAAATAAGCACATTCTTTTTGATGTTTTATCCACTTAGTCAAAAAAATCCTGAACTGACTGGTTTACAGTAGATTTAAACTGCTAATATCCTCTCATGGGGAAATAACATTTGTTCTTAGTGCTCTGCGTGTCCACTTGGTCATTTAATTACATGTGTTTGCATATAATTGCGTGCGTGCATAATAGAAATGTTGGCTTGCACATGGTGATTTGGTTAATTAAGTCTGTTTCCAATGCTTTTTCATTCACGTTGGGCCTCCGCAGGACTCAGTCTACCGGGACCCTTCCCTTCAGCCTTTTGAAGTGAAAATGCTGATTGTAGCTTTTAGAAATCTGCATAAGGGTGTGGAAAATCTATGATGCAGTACATTACTATTTACTCTGTGGTTTGGTTATGAACAAAGGCTGAATTGTGTAAAGGAAGCCATCCTTTTTATAAACACTTACAGTATTCAAGTCTTATAATGAAGCAAAATACAGGTTAATTGACTATATAATGAGTAAAATGTGTGCAAACATAGAGCTGTGAGTGTGTATACATATATCAGAAGAGAGTACGCCTAGCATGATGTGTGTTTATTTATGCTTGATATGATACTCATGTCATGCATATATAAATGCAATCTGTCATGTGGATGCTGGGAAGGCAGCCCTCAGCTTCAGTCGTGCACTTCAAGTTATCTGTAGTGACAGCAAGGTGCATTACATAAAGACTCGTCCTGGTAGGATTTACCACAAAAAAAAAAGTGTTCTCAGAAATGAGCAATGATAAATACTCAGTGAGAAACAGGAGTCTTTATTTCTGGGACATAATGCAACCGTTTAATTTGTAAGTTAATTTATAAGTTTGTGACGTTAAAGATACACAAGTATTAAAACGCATGTTTGTTTTGTTTTTGTTTTTTTTTATAAAAATGTATGTGTAACAGAATCAAATTTAATTTTATCTCTGCACATTTGTGCATTTGTTTTCTTCATGTCAGTCACGACAGGTTCAGAGAAACGTCAACTCAGGAGAAGAGCAAGGCGAGGGAGTTTTTATAAAGAAATGTCAAAGTTTTATGTAGCCTGTGTAAAACTGGCAAATAAATATTACGTTCTGCTTAAATTACAGCATCTATGGGAGACTATATGAAAGTTTATACCGATTTAAAAGAAAAAACAACAAAACAAACTTGACGACAACAACAGATCCTACAGATGTCAGTGTCTTAATGAACAGAATATCCTTAAATAATGCATAGATGATGTTCAAAGAGTTTTTAGTTTTGTTATTTTGCTGTTTGTCATATATACATGCACTTTTTAAACACAAACAAATGTGGATGTCGCGGTGATGAAAAAGACCTTGACATGTGCTGCCTCATGTTGGCCTACTTTCATTAGAAGAATGCACTATACATGTTCTGTGCATTGTATCAGGTTTTAAGCTACGTTCACACTGCAGGCAAATGTGGCACGAATCTGATTTTTTTTTTCCCCCTCATGTGTGATGACAGTGTGAACAGCCCAAACCGCATGGAATCTAATCTTTTCAGGTCAGATCTGTGCCACTTTCAAGTGTGGTCTTAAATCAGACACGGATCTGATGTTTTGCAATGCGACCGCAGTGTGAACGGTTATGTCGTATTTCATGTGACTTTTACACAATCTTTGAGCTACATGCGTCATCATTCTGTGCTGCAAACATCATCTACCCCTCAGCAGCACAGTAGAATGGCACACAGGGCGATTACAGTATCACAGAAAGTTGGTTGTTCATGTTAAAAACAATTTTGAAGGCAAAACTGGTGCTTGTTAACTAATCTAGTTAACGATTGAGGCACGGGTTGATCGCGAAGCTAAAAAGCTTCATGGGTGTTGTGAGGATCGGTGTGCAAAAGAAGGAAGAACTTTCTCTTCGAGAGAAAAAAGGGCAGGTGCTCGAGCACCCAAACCCCCCTTCTGCATGTGTCTGTTGTTTATAACAAAGTAAAATTAAATAACTCTACAAACGGACATAAACCAAATACGCCTTCACAGCTCAGTCTGCGGCTGCTCATTAACCCTTGATGAGTTCACTAAACCGGTGATCAGAGCGCCACGCACCGCAGTTGTCATAAATCACAAACGATCAGTGTTTTTTATCACAGGACACTTATTTTAGGTCTCAAATGTCAAAATACACCTTAGTAGTAGCAGAACAATCATTTAAAGTTCATGAAATACACAACGGTTGTCTGTGAAAAGGGTAATAATAATATAAGCATGATCTGACAATGTGCTTACTCATGCAGCACTCAGGCGTTCATAATTAGACATTTTGCGTTCTCCGTAATGCACTTTTGAGCATCCGGGTCAGTTTAGGACCATGATCTGTTCACACTGCAAATCTGATATAGGTTACATTCATAAGAGCGGTGTGAACAGCCATGCAAAAAAATCAGATCTGCGAAAAAATCAGATTTGAGCACTAAGCCTTGCAGTGTGAACCAAGCCAGAGTATTGATCATACAGTCGTTTGATTCAGTTGATTGTATGAATTGTTTCTATACTTGATTTCTGTTGATCTGATTCATAGATTATTTGAAGTACATTTTTAGATTAGATCAGTTAATTTGCTCAGAACAATTGCAAACACATTTAGATATTTATTTAATTGTATTTATTTATTTGTTTAGAAACTGTGTTTGAGGGTATCTGAGGGTGCAAAAAAATCTTATTTATTATTTATTTATTTTTAAACTGTCTGAGTGAAAAAAAATCACTAATTTATTTTTATTTATTTATATATATATATATATATATATATATATATATATATATATATATATATATATACATACACACACACACACACGCATATATATACTGTCTGTCTCTATATATATATATATATATATATATATATATATATATATATATATATATATATATATATACTGTATATATGTATGTATGTATGTATTTATTTATTTATTTTAACTGTGTTGGAAGGTATCTGAGGGTGCAAATGAAAAGCTGTCCAAATTAACTTTGCCATATTACTTATGCCCATTGATATTTTAAGCACACCTGGGTGACGAGAAACAGGAAAATGTTTGACCCCGACTTTCTGAATCATAAGGCTAAACTGCAGGTACATGCGAGAACATATCAGTCAAACTCATTCAGTCATCAAAGAAAAAAAAAAAAATAAGAACACAACTTTATATATAATAAACTGTTAAAAGCTGTTAGTAACTAGTTAATTAGCTAAAGTTATTAGTAACTAATAAAGTTATCCCTTTAACTGCTTCCAAGAAAAAAAAATTGGATTGCATTTTTTAACTCCTAATGTCGCTATAACACACTCAATGCATTATTTTTCAACATCCATTTCTATAATATCAACCTCTACTAAATGGCTTATGTCGGTTTATGGTAAAAGTACCGTAATTGATACATATACTATGAAAAATCTAAAAATACGAAGTGTAAGACCAATTTATTAAAAAAAAAATCTAAAAACATTTTTAAATAGTAAATCCCCTTTATTTTTGAATTGTCATATATTATATTATATTTATTATATTATATTATATTATATTATATTATATTATATTATATTATATTATATTATATTATATTATATTAAATATTTCAGATTCTCATTTAAAATGTTTCTTGTTTGTTTGTTTTATTTTAAATAATAAAACCAAAATCAAGTGTAGTAATGCAATAGAATTGTTTTGTGGTTTTTTTTTGTGTTTTTGTTTTTTGTAAACCACAATGCTTTTGTGTAAACCATTATTTAAAACAGTCATTCTTTAAACATCTTTTAACAATGATTATTTAAATAAGTCAAAATATGACCAATCGTTTGGTAGAACAGGCAGTTAAAGGGTTAAGGTAACTAATAACCTTTACTTTTTGATTGATTGTAATTCAACAATGCTTTTACAACTGCTTTGAAACAATAATTAATTTGAAAAGAGTTACAAATAAACTTAAATTCAATATGACGGGGCAACGCAGTGGCGCAGTCGGTAGTGCTGTCGCCTCACAGCAAGAAGGTCGCTAGTTCGAGCCTTGGCTGGGTCAGTTGGCATTTCTGTGTGGAGTTTGCATGTTCTCCCTGCGTTTGCGTGGGTTTCCTCCGGGTGCTCCAACTTCCCCGACAGTCCAAAGACATTTGGTACATGTGAATTGGGTAGGCTAAATTGTCAGTAGTGTATGCGTGTGAATGAGTGTGTGGATGTTTCCCAAAGATGGGTTGCGGCTGGAAGGGCATTCGCTAAGTAAAAACATGTGCTGGATAAGTTGGTGGTTATTCAGCTGTGGCGATCCCGGATTAATAAAGGGACTAAGCCGACAAGAAAATGAATGAATGAATGAAATTGACTGTCTGGAGTATAAAAACCCACAAGCTGATGTTTGCATTTATATTTTAATTAAAAGTTTAAACAAAAGCATCGTCTCTGCTCATTTTATTACTAAGCATGCAAATATTAGTGGAGGACACTGCATACATTCTATTTAGAGTATAACGTTGCTCTACTTTTTAAATCAGCCTCTGGAATCATTGAAGTAAGACTGAAAAGAGTAAATGGACGAGAGTGAATGCAAATGACTGTAAAATCACAAACCTGTTCTCTAAGCCCACGTTTCCACCCAGAACCCAGTTTTCCTGCAGCTGCACGCATTCAGATGCGCTCTGGAGCTCCGCAGGTTGATTGGCCAGGGACTGGTTGAGGGAGGTGACTGACGGGTGCTGCTTGTGCTGGATTGGTGCAGGTGGCAGAGGAGGCGGTCCTGCTTGGCTTGGAAGCTGGTCTAGTGGAAGAGGAGAGAGGCAGAGGAATTAGTGGAGCTTGTTACAGAAGTCTGCTTTTCACAAAGCGCAGGCGGATTGAAGGCCTGTTCCAGATTGAGTTAAATGGGATTCTTTACAGGATGATTTGGTCCTATGAGCACCAACAAATTTTCACTAAACTCCGTCCAGGCATATTTGGGTGAAACAGAGGACACGCTCAAAACACTACGTTATGGGGAATCACACGCTTTAACCCTTTAACTGCCCCACCAAGAAAAAAAATTGGATTGGATTTCTCTTAGTGTAGCTAGTTAATACCAAATGGTTAATGTTAGTTTATGGTAAAAGTACTGGAATTAATACATATATTATAAAAATATGAAAAATATGATATGCAAGACCAGTTTATTTTGAAAAAAAATAATCAAAGTAAAACAATGTTAAATACCAAATCATCTTTATTTACTGATGTATGCCAAACAATATTTCAAATTCTTATTTCAAATGTTTTCTTTCTTTTCTTTTTTTTTTAAGACAAGAAAAGAAATCAAAATCAAGTGTAGTAGAGCAACAGGGTTCTTCTTGTTTATTTTTTGTAAACCTACAATGCTGTGTGTATAAACCATTATTTAAAAGTCATTCTTTAAATGTCTTTAACAGTCAAAATATTGTCAACCATTTGGTAAAGCAGGCAGTTAAAAGGATTTTAATGCAGTAATGTGATTTAAGTTATGAATTAAAATTACAAATGAAAACAATTCACAATCATCCTAGAACTGAATTGTATTGTTATACCAATTTGTCTTAGAACTTGACTTTACTTTTTATTTAAAATGGTTTCAAAAATAAATGATAAATTATCCATCCTGTAAAACCAAACAATTGCTTCCTTAATAAATAAGCAAATAAATAAATACTGCACAGTCTGCACAGCTGCTTATTGGTACTTATAAAGCAAATATTCTGTATGATCTTATTCTTTATACCCAACACCTAAACTATTAATGAGGAGCAAATTAGGAGTTTATTAAAGCAAAAGTCAAAATGGTTTGTTAATAACTGAACTACACAATTAAGTGTGACCAATTTTTTTTTCTAAGTATAAAAAACATATCGCAATTTATATCGCAGAAAAACGAAATATTACAATGTCAATTTTTCTTTAAATATTTATTTATACTGTAAAACCCAAAAAGTTAAAGACCATTTGAGAAAACCTATATATATATATATATATATATATATATATATATATATATATATATATATATATATAATTTATTTATTAGTTAAAAAGTTCCTAATACTCTTAAACAGATGCAAAATGCATATGGTTTGTCAAGTGTTAATATGATGTCACTGTCAAATATATTTCCCAAAATCAAATCACAACATTAGTTAAACAAGAAGATACTTGTTTAACTAATATTGTACAAAAATACATAACAATGTACTTATTAAAATGAGCCTATGCTTTAGAAGGAAGTTGAGCAACTGTACAACTTGGAAAGACCTGAAAGTGAGTATCAGTAGTAGCAGCGACTTTTACGAGTGAGCAAACGCAAGCCTCCGCAGGCCGTTGCCGGGGAGCAGATGTTTTATAATGGGCTCTTAAACTGAACGCTTCACGTTTGATTACAGCCAGAGAGAGACTCTCGTTTAACTAATGACCGGAACCTCCATTAGGACAGCAGGAAAAAAACAGGTTTTCTCATTTCACTCCAAGCTGGGTAATTGCCCCCCAAAATGACACTGTGTGATTATCTGACTGTCCCATCCTGCCGCCGTGCTGACAGGTCTGTTTCCATCTGACTACGGGTGTCCAAACATATGCTGTCACACGCTAGACTGTGACAGGGCAGCCACACAAATTCAATATTTGCTTTTATGCTCATGCAAAAGCACCACAAGGAATAATGTGCGTGTGGAGCATGATGGAATCATTTGTTATGAGCATTTCCCTTTGTCTCTTTTCTTCTTAATTTACCTTCTATGGTTTAAATGTCAATTAAGATTTTTTTTATTTATGTACTAGCATTGATCAGGATTGTAAATATAATTATCTTTGTGAAAGAAGCCCTGTTCCTAAAATTTAAAGGGCACCTTACTTTATATTGTCCAGTGTAGAATACCTTATTGTACTATTTTTTCAATAACATATATTATATTATATTATATTATATTATATTATATTATATTATATTATATTATATTATATTATATTATTATATTATATTGTCAATTTAAAAAATGCTGCGTAGCATTTCTTAGTATTTAATCAATTTTAAATTGCTCAACCTCATCTTATTTAATCAAAAAATATGTCTATTTTAGAATACATTTTATAATCAGTTTTAAAATTTTATTTTAATTCTTCTTTACTTGTATATGCAATTATCTAATGTTTCGACTATAATTTCATCTTATCTTTATTACATTTATACATTTCTGTTTATTTCATTTTCACAAACCCCTTGTGAAAACCATGTGTGGATAAAATAAATTTTGTTATTATATTATATTATATTATATTATATTTCTAATTTTTATTTGAAAAAATTGCATCTATTTCTTTTTTTAAGTTAAGTTATTTAATCAATTTTTTATTATTTATCTGCATATTTAATATTTTAATACTTTATATAATCATTTGATAGTTTAATATTTATTTAAATTTCTCTATACAAGTATTATTCTAATAAAGTTTTATTATTTATTTCATTGTATCTCTATTACATTAATAATACATTTTCTTTTTATTCCATTTCCAAGGACCCCTTGTGAACAGCCATTTTACACCCCCCTTGCATGAATAAAATATATCAAATGATCATATTAAGCATGGACATGATTTCAATGCTCATATCACAGTCGAACAGCATCCCGTAGCACAATAAACCCTATTCTGAGCACATGCAATGAGGTATTAAACGCTAATGAGTTTTCATTTACACCTACCTAAGTGATTTGTACTACAAACGTTGCTCTACAAATAAATATTTTTATCCCTCATTTTAACAGACTTGGTTGTAAATTTTCCGTCATCTTCTACTTGATCCAGCAATATACTACTGTAACTCTTGGCATTTTAATATGACATTTATATGACGAGAGCTTCAATATAAAGAGCTCCTCTAGTCTTCCCAAGTGCTCAGATTCAGCAGGTTTTTCATGTTTCTCTCACTCACGTGTCTCTCTCAGGCTATTTCCACCAAAGCTCTTTAAAACTTTATTTTCTTCCCTTTTTTCTGCTCCTAATCCTTATTAGCATCCTTTACGGTGGAAATGCTTATAAAGTAGAGAAATTCAGCAGACCCAACAGAATATTTTTATCTCTCAAAATGACAGAAAGCATTTAGATGTACCTTTCAATTTCTTTTATGTAGTAAATGACGACAAAAATTAGCTTAACAAAAATGTAATTTGCAGTATATATTGTGTATGTTTTTATGTGTTTATATGTCTGCCCAATCAGGGATGCAATGATTAATCGATTTCACTATCTATCACTATCATTAATCACGTTTTAATTTGTCACGGTTAATTAATTGTAAAGCCTTCTTGAACCTTCTGCACAGAACAAAACTGCGGCTTGTACACAATAGGCACACACACTGGATTAAAGGCTGATTTTAACTATTTTTGAGGCTATAAATGGTGCGTGAGCGGTGCGATGCACGCTTACACTTTCCAGGTGCACATAAAAGAATGCTGAAAGCGAAGCGTGAGTCACATGACAAGAATGAACCAGTCAGCTTCATACTTTGTATGGAATATACATACTTCTATTCCAAAAACAGAAAATACAAAAGAAAATACCCAAAATTTTATAATATAATTTATTAAATGCCATGTTCCTTTTGCGTTTGCTTGGGTTTCCTCCGGGTGCTTCGGTTTCCCCCACAAATCCAAGTACATGTGGTACAGGTGAATTGGGTAGGCTAAATTGTCAGTAGTGTATGAGTGTGAATGAGTGTGTATGGTTGTGTAGCCAGATATGGGGTGCAACTGGAAGGGCATCCGCTGCTTAAAAACGAGCTGGATAAGTTGGCGGTTCATTCCGCTGTGGCGACCCCGGAAAGGACTAAGCCGAAAATAAAATGAATGAATTAGTAGATCAAATGTGCCTTTCAGACAGGTTTAGCAGTCTTTGACTACATTTGTTCTCTTGAAAAGGGAAATACTTGGCTTATATGTAGCTTAGCTTTACACTAGACAAATACTATCTATTTAATATTTTATTTTTTTTACTTAATCCTTTTTTCTGTCATTTATTTTCAGTGTGAAAGTATTACTTATGTTTAAAAACCTTTTAAACTTATTTTTTAGACCAAAAAGAAATGGACTATTATTTATTATTTGATTTTTAAAAAAATATTTTTTTTTTTTTTGCTGTATTAATTGGGTACTGAGTAGCAAAAAATAGCACATTAAATTAAGGGAGCTTTAATGTGATTTACTAAACTAGTAGTGTTTTGCAATTAATACAGGCATAGTAATCATGATAATGACACTGGGATAATTCCTCAGACTGTAATCATTTAACGGAAATCTATAATTGTTCCCTATTTATCGCATCCCTATTTGCAATTCAGTTAAAGATATTATACGTGGATACAAAATATATCAAAAACATTACTTTTGAAAGTTTTCTTTTTTTTATATGCTTTTGGATTAAAAAAAAATTTTTATTTGGTTTTATTTGAGTTTTATCATTACTTTTGTTGACTTTTTTTATTGACTTATTTTGAAAAATATTATAATGTGCTATTCAGTTTATTTTTTCATGCATTACTTTAGTATTATTTTACAAGCAGGGAGCAGTATGCTTAACCACAATACACTATGCTATAAACTCATTTATTTAGTTTTACATGATTTTTTTCAACAAAGCATGTTCAGTGGTATATCAAGTGTATTCAGATTTCAGATTATATTTACTGCATACCGTGTCTTCACATTTACAGTCATTCAGACATGATGGTACAGTGCAGTATATATAGAGGTACTGCAATAATGC